AAGGGCAAAAAGAAAAAAGCATTTGCTACCTGTGGGAGCCCAGGTAATATAAGCTCTGTAATAGAAGCACTGGACTAGTAATGTCAAGGTTGGCAGTTCAAACCCACCAACTGCTGTTGGAAATCTATACAGGGTCACTGTAAGTCAGGACTGAATCAAAGGCACACCAACAACAACCTCTAGGCTAAGGGAGAGTGAACACTGAAGGAACTGAGAACTTAATTGAGTCTGAAGGCTAAAATTTACAACTCTGCGATTCCACAGAAAACACAAGCCTGCTTACCAGAGGGCTGTAGCTGGCTATAGAGCTGTTCACCAGGTTGAGGAGACAACTGCCTAAAACAAAGTCTGAACTACTACAGAAGTTGGGTTGTTGTTGTTAGGTGCCATTGAGTCAGTACCGACTCATAGCGACCCTATGCTCAACAGAACGAAACACTGTCCAGTCCTGTGCCAAACTCACAATCACTGCTACGCCTGACCCCATTGCTGCGGCCACTGTGTCAATCCATCTCACTGGGGGGTCTTCCTCTTTTTTTCCAACCCTCCACTCTACCAAACATGGTATCCTTCTCCAGAGACTGGGCCCTCCTATGGATGGGTAGGTGAGGTAGGCTGAAAATATAACAGGAACTGATCTGTAGGGGTTTCTGACACACTGAGCCACTATTTCCTGTGCTAAATTTGAAAAAAAAAAAAAAAAAAAGGACCAACAAAGGAAAAATGTGTTTTCAACACCAGTTACACAAATTTAAGGTTGGTAAACCATAAATTGATAACTGACGGGGATTTTCCCCACATGATTTGCAATTCTTGTATAATTTGTTGTTGTGAAGTGCTGTCCAGTCAGTTCTGACCTAGAGTGACCCTGTATAGGGTTTCCAAGGAGCGACTGGTAAGCTTGAACTGCCGACCTTGCAGTTCAGACCGACTTTGCAGTCCAGTGCATTAACCCACAGACCACACTAGGACTCCGGCTTATATTTAATAAGGGTTTAAAAGGGTGCTAGAGCTGGGTGGACCACAGAGGCTTATCACTGTTAGTGATCAGGCTGGGCTGTTTCCTTAGGGAACTGCTGATAGCAGCATCTTTATCTTTTCACAAAACACTCCTGTCTTAGTTTCCTAGGGCTACCATAATAAAGTCCCACAAAATGGGGTGGTATTAAGGAATTGTTGATAAGTACCTTTCAGATTCATAGAGACCCTGTATCGAGTTTCCAGGAATAGGTTGTTGAGTTTGAATTTTTTTATAGCCCTAAAGGCTAGAAGTCCAAATTGAGGGTGTTGACACAGCTGTGTTTTCTCTCTGTCAGCTCTAGAAGAAAATTCTTTTTCAGTTTTTTGCCAGTGACATTTCTTGGCCTACTGGGCTTTTAGATTCTCACATGGTGTCTTCTCTGTATCTGTATTGTGTTAAATGCCATGGAGTCGGTTCCAACTCATAGCAACCCTATATAGGTTTTTTTGAGTAGTGGCTTAAGGTTTGAACTGCCAATCTTTTGGTTAGCAATCCAGTGCTACAACACCACACCAGGATCCTGTGTCTATACTCCCTCCCCTTTATAAAACAAGGTGTAAAACAGTATAGCTAGCAAACATGTATATTTTATAAAAAGAGAGGAGGGCAGAGGAATTTATACACAATAGATTTGCCTAATAAATTTCCTTGGTTTTACCCATTTTATACTAATATAATTTCTTCCCTTTTTATCTCAAACATTGCCACTCATGTTTCTCTTCAGACTCTGAAGTTGGAGCTGGCTAGATCAGTTCATCTTTAATTCCTGTTTGCTTCACTTGTTACTCATTCTACTTCCTAGGAGTTATTACAGGGCCCTTCAATTTCAGGTAGATTCTGATCCATTTGAGCAGATTCCAACTATGTTCTTCTTGTCTTACGTCACCCATATGGTGGTGAGAATTCAAAACATTTTCTTTTCTCCATATCAGTATTTCTCTTCAAAGCTTGATGGTGACCTTTACACATTGCCCTGGATTCTCTGATTTTCTGACTTATTTCTAATACATTACTTTCTTCCAGTGCTAAAAGTTTCCCTTCTGCTTAAAACTGCCTATTGAGTATGTGTGTGTGTGTGTGTAATAGATACAGGTACATAAAAGGATATGCACACAAGAATTTGGAAACTGGTTGAGAAAGCCAGCAAGAAAGGGACCATTAGAAGATGAGTGGTGAAAGAGAAGCTTACTTTTCATTGTATATACTATTTTGTTTCTTCCATATTTTATGCCTTTAATAGTATTGGCGGTGGTTGTTGTGAAGTGCCATGGTAATAGTAATAAGATTAAAAAAATACTAAATTGACTAAATAAAATCCCATAAATTGAATGTGATATATAATTCTATAATGCATTTTATTAAAGGATAGTATATAATAGGCTTTTGAATCTCAATGTTGGTGGTTCAAGCTCACTAGTCACTCTTTGGAAACCCTATACAAAGTCTCTATAGGTCAGCTCTGACTTGATAACACTTAACAAGAATGTACATAAGAGTCCTAGTGTGGCGCTGTGGATTAATGCACTGGACTGCAAGATCGGTTTAAATTGCAGAGTCAGCTGTTCAAGCTCCTCAGTCGCTCCTCAGAAGCCCTATACAGGGTCTCTCTGAGATAGAAGCGACTCAATGGCACTTAACAACAATATATACAGAAGTAATACTCTGATTGTATCAGTGAAGAATTAGATACTTATATAAATTTATGGGTATTAAGACAAATAATGACCTCCCATTTGGTTACGAATTGGGCTGTGAACCTCAAGGTGAGCAGTTCGAAACTACCAGCTGTTCATCTCTGTGAGAGAAAAATGAGGGTCTCAGAGCTCCTGTTAAGATTTGCAGCCTCACAGCCAAAGTGTCCATCCATCAACTGAAGAATGGGTAAACAAACTGTGGTACATATACACAATGGAATACTATGCTACCTTGAAAAATAACAAGGAAGCTGCAAGCCACTGCTTAACATGAATGAACCTTGAGGGCATTATGTTGAGTGAAATTAGTCACAAAAGGAGAACTACTGCATAGGACCACTACTGTAAAAGACTAAGAAAAAGAACCCATACTAAAGGGGGGTGGATTCTTTGCTGGTTGCTGGGATGTGGTGGGGGGATGAGGGGAAGGTGGAGCACAGGGCAGGGAATAGACCCGGATAGTTTGGGTGCTGGGGAGGGGGGCAATATACAAGAAGGGAGAGGGGAATGGAAGAACAAAGCAGATGGGAGAACAATTAGGCAGGTTTGCATGGGCTAAGTGGAACAGAAGTAAATAATGATGTATGCACAACTTTGGAACAACAGGGCTCTGGGATACAGAGATTGAGACATGGTTGGAATGGGGAAAAGAGGGGAATAATGTTAAGATGTTTGGCTGTCTTTTGAATCTTGGTTTTCCTTGCATTATATTATAAAATAGACACTGGAGGGGGAGAGAAAGGAATAGCCAGAAACATCACCACAGAAAGCTTGTAAGTCCGTCTTCTGCCTATAACTGATTGGAATACCTAAAATGGGGCTACAACGTGCCCAGTGAAGGAGGCTTCCTGTGGAGCCTCTGCATTACGTAAGTCTATAGGTGGAATCCTGAATCACATCCAGTATCTCCAGAGATGGGAAATTTCCATTAGAAAGGATGAGCAGACCAGCCTGGAACAGCTGGAAGAACAGAAGATATTTCTTGAAAGAAAGATCTACAGGAAAAATACAAAACAATAGAGGCAGACCAACTGTTACTACAAGAACAAGCAAGTTGCTTGCCCAGGAGACATCAAGGCAAGTGGTCGGGCCCCCTCAGTGTAAACCCCCTTCCAAGACTAAGACTCAATGGGAATACATGCTCTGATTGGTGACCACGCTCATCACTGATAAGGGGAAGTGAGGGAAAAACAGCAATGAAGCTGTGAGCTAAGCCCTACAATGTTCAATAGACTTCTGTGAACCCGGGTGAAGACCTGGTTGGCCAGCAGTGTGGCAAGACCTGGGGACTTTTGGGCCCAGAGTCAGTGACATAGCCACAGAGGACTAGAGTGGAGAATGAAGCATCCAGCTGATAAAAAGAGAGGGCATATGCACAAGAACACCCACACTTGCAGATAATACCCACTTGACCAGGCTTCAGTGACTGAGAGGGGCTGTGTACTGACGACCGGGGGTCAGGCTTGTAGGGTATACCCTTTAGTTGGTTGATGATGCATGGAGGGGATTGTAACCATGGCAATGAAATAATACACGATAGGCTGAAGGTAAAACTAATATTCTCCCATGTAAACTATCACATAATTCACAATAAAACATAAAAAAAAAAAAAAAAATTACAGCCTCAGAAGCCCTGTACAGGATTGCTATGAGTCGGAACCAACTCCACGGAACATAACAACAACAATAACATTTGTACACCTCAGTTCATATAACTTATTTAATCTTTAACCACCCTGTACAGGGTCGATCTGAGTCAGAACCGACTCCATGGCACATAACAACAACATTTGTTTTGTACTCCTCAGTTCATAAAACTTACTTAATCTTTAACCGCCTTGTCAGAGTGCTGCTTACTGTCTCCATTTTACAAACCATAACGATCTCTGTTTTTATGAGAAATGGCTAACATGAAAAACACAAATAAAGAACTGAGGTTCCGAATGACTAGGTGACCTGCCTGAGTTCCACAGTTCGTACTTGAATCCTTCTCTAGTGCCGTTTCCACTGTGCCTCAGGTAAGGAAGTCCAGAGTGAGCGCTAAGATTTTGCACTTCAGCTGGAGTTAATTATCAACTTTTTCCTTGATGGGGCTTCTTTGGTGCACCGATGGTACTGAACTAGTCTGATGCAAATACATTTTTCAGTCATTAAGCCTACCAGTACATCAGTGTATATCATGCACGGCACAAGTTCCCATCATGGGCATTGAGAGTACAAACCAAGCAAGATGGACTCGTTCTGTACCTTAGAAGCTTACTTGTATCTTCTTTCAATTGTTCTAGGAAGAGTTGCAAGCCAATATGGATCTGATTCAAACCTACAGACTGCATATTGCCCAAGACATCAACCAGGAAAACCTCCAGCTCTTCCTGAGTTCCTATAACGGGTATAGTTGTTTCCTGTCTTTTCACTTAAATGTGGACAAGGTCTCAAAAGATAATTGGCAATTAAAGAATAAAGAAAGGAGAATAAATGACTTTTTCTAGTGGTGTGAGATGAGTTTTCTGTCATGCTATTTCACCAAAGTGGAAGAGACAAATATAAAAATATAAAAAGCTTTAAAAAATTACAAGAAAAGTGTTTGGCCCCAAAAATGTAAGTCATTCCTTTGTCTTGAGGAATGCATTCTCTGAAACTAGTTTCTCTGAAACTACTTAGGACATGAGTATTAGAGGCACATTGCTGTTGAGTTGTGAAGTTGCCTCCATTTTGCATACTGTAGAACCCTGTGGAGTTGAGCCAGGAGGCACTAAAATGGCTACTCCTGAACAAAGTGTACAAGGGTCCCCTTCCCTGATTAGCTGGCAAAAAAAGATAGTTTTCACATTTCAAAACATTTCGCTTTTCACGAGTAGAAAATAACCTAAGTTGCTATGATTTTACCTGAAAACTACATTGCTTCTGCTTTATTTTTCTAGACGCAGAGACTTGGAGATTGAAAGACCCTTACTGGGCCAAAATGATAACACAAAAACATTAAAGTAAGCCCCTCAGTTTTCCCATTCAATTGCTGACTCTTTGCCTCTATGAAAGGCAGTTTAGTATACCATGAAGCATATGTGTTTATTTGTTAATGACATCTCTAATTTTGCCTGTACCCAGGTGTTGTACGTTATTGGTGGTAGGGGACAATTCACCTGCAGTTGAGGCTGTGGTAAGTATATCTTGATATTGTGAAGATAAATGGGCAGAAAATGTTTACAACACACTGTCGACACTGGAAACAGTTGGTAAACACTAGACTTTGTTATGTCTGATTGCACAGGTCAGGTTTGCTTTTTGTTGTACTCTTTAGAAAATTAATTTCTCATCATCACTAGGTTTCATTAGATGGAATGTATGCTGCCTTTGATTAGTTTGTATGGTGCAGTTCATTTTGTGGCAAGTAGTATTAGTAAACATAATTTGTCATCAGATTTCTATAACCATTATAAGTCTGCAACTAAATCAGCAAGTCAGAAGGCTACTGAAAGCCTGAATGCTTTTCTGTACCACCTCCTCAAGCACATAACAAATTAATAAAAATAATATATGCTTATTATGGAAAAGGAAGAAGGAAGACATTGAAAAATAAAAGGGTAGAGGGAAGCATAATCCTGTTACTCAAAGACAAACTATTATCTTTTTCTTAAACATAGACTGGATCATATTAAATAGTTGATGTTTTGGGACCTATTAATACTTAAAATTGATAGCATTTTTCAAAATGTAAAGTCAACATGGTGGTGGTGGTGGTGGTGGTTATGTGCTGTGGAGTGGGTTCCGACTCATAGCAACCCTGTACAGGGTTTCCGAGGCTGTAAAGCTTTACAGGAGCAGAAAGCCTCATCTTTCTCCCGCAGAACACCTGGTAGTTTCAAGCTGCTGATCTTGAGGCTTGCAGCCCGATTCATAACCATTACGCTACCATACATTTTTCTGCTTCTAATATCTTAATAGATGTACCATACTTTATTTAACCTCACTCTCCTGTGCATCATTTCTGATTTTACACTATTAATAATGTTGCTGTCAAACATCCTTACAACATTTTTTATTGAATCTTGGAAGTAATGTATTAAAAATACAAAACATTTGTAAGGTTTTTGATCTCTCCTGCCAGATTCCTTTCCAGAAAGGCTGTTTTTTAGATGCAGAAACCTAGAGATTGAAAGACCCTTGCCAAAAGACTGCTACAAGGGTGCTTCCAAACATTTGTGGAAAAATGGAATGAAAAGATAATAGAATTGTGAGAGCTGGGACAAGACAGCAGAGTAGGCCTCGGCACTGAGCAGACCCTCTGCAACCAAGACATCGGAAACTAAGTAAAATAGATCCAGATGGTGGTCCTGGAACACTGAGCTTCAGAAGACAGGACAGAGGTGGACTGAGTGCTGACTGGAAGAGGAAGCTGAACAGGAGCAGTGAGAGAGAAGAGAAACAGGCAGACTGTCAGCTGGAATGGAGTGGTATGGCCATCTTGAGCTTTAGCAGGCAGTTGCAGATACAGTAGTCTGAGGCACAGGGCTGGGCTGCAGGTGGGAGACAGTGGGATAGGGTGCAGTCCTCCCTTGTTCTCTTGCCCTCCTAGTAGCTGAGGTATGGCCAGTCCTGCCGTAGCTGACACAGCAGTAAGTGGCACACCATCCTACGTAGCCTTACCCTGGGGTCCTTCTGGAGATGTGGGAACCTGCCCTAAACTACTGTACACAACGTGCTAACAGAGAATTGTGTTCAGACTTCCTTCCAGCCTCTATCACCTCCTCCAGGAGACAGGTGGTGAGTGCCTGAGTACACACCAATATACAATCATCAACTGTACATATAACAACACCACGATGTCTTAGAGAAAACAGATAATTTCAGCTTACATGAAGAAACAAGGTAGAGTGCCTCAAACAAGGATATCAAAATAAGGAATCTGAAAATATCAGCAGAAATGGAAGCAGAACCACTTGATAGGAATTTAAAAGAATGCTATTTAGGTACATACCTTCAATGAATTGAGAGAAAGATTGATGAAAGCAAGGAAGAATTCAGGAATATAATATAAGAACAGTTTGACAAAATAACTGAAAACCATTCAAAAATAGCAGTTAGAAAACCAGAAGATTAATCTTAGTACTAAGATTTCAGAAATAGATAAAATACATTGAAAGGGCAAAGTAGAATTGAATCAGTGGAAGACTGAATCAGTAAGCTTGAAGACAAATCTCTCAATAGTCATTTTCCAGAGGAACAGTCAGAAAAAATAATTTTAAAATCCAAAGAAACCTTAAGATTTATGTGGGACACTGTCAAGAGAAATAACTTTGGGTAATTGGAATTCCAGAACAGATAGAGACAAAGCCATAGAGAACACTGTCCAAGAGTTTGCTAATATCATGAAAAATGAGAAGATAGCCACACAAAAAGTCAAACAAATTCCAAACAGATCCCAAAAGGAAATTACCAAGACATATTATAATCAAACTTTTCAAAACCAAATACAAGGAAAAAATCCCGAGAGCAGCTTTGGAAAAGTGAAAAGTTACAGAAAAAGGAGAACCAATGAGACTAAGGTCTGATTTCTTAGCACAAACCATCCTGTCAAGAAGACAAGGAGATGACATATACAATACTCTAAAAGGAGAAAAATTGCCAACCAAGAATCATATACCCAGCAAAATTGCCCATCAAATATGAAAACGAATATAGGACATTTCCAGATAAACAAAAATTAAAAGAATTTGCAAAAAACAGATCAACCTTATGAAAAATACTTAAAGGGAATCCTTTGGACAGAGAACCAGCAAAGTAAACAAGCTGAGACTAACATACACACATGACAAAATCACCCAGAACTTAAAACCCAGATTTAGACGTATTCAAAGTAAAACAGACCTGTTATTGTTAAGTGCCGCCAATTCGGTTCCAACCTACAGTGACCCTGTACAAGGTTTCTGAGGAGCGGCGGGTGAGTGAACCACCACTGTTGCGGTTCAAACCAACCTTGTAGTCCAGTTTCTTATCCTGCAGAGCCACACCAGAACACCTAATAAAGAGGAAATCAAGTAGATTTCAAGAAAAATCAATAAATAAACCTAACTGTAGCCCTAAAACTAGACAAAGCCTTACTTCTAGCCCTAGTGCAACTCCTACCTCTAACTTTAACTCGTCCTAACCGTTACCCTAACACTAAATGAAGTCCTGAGCCTTGTCTAAACCTAGCCATAGTCCTAACCCTAGCTCATTACTTCTACCCACCCATCCACCCCCAAGAGGAAAAATAAAAAAGGTAATGGAATTTCTCCACACTTTTTATAGCTGTTAAACAGCGCTCAGTCCAGAATTGGATTTATTAAATTAGATTGTAAAAATCCTATGTTGTTAAGTGCCACCAAGTTGGTTTTGACTCCCAGTGACCCTGTATAGGGTTTCTGAGAGCTGTTGGTAGATTTGAACTGCTGACCTTGCAGTAGCAGTGCAGTGCAATCCTACAGTACCACACCAGTACTCCTAAAATGGTATGATGGTGGTGGTTATGTGCCGTGGAGTCAGTTCTGACTCATAGCGACCCTATATAGGGTTCTGAGGCTGTAAATCTTTATGGGAGCAGAAAGCCTCATCTTTCTCCCACTGAACAGCTGGTAGTTTCGAACAGCTGACCTTGCAGTTCGCAGGCCAATTCCTAACCACTAAGCTACCAGAGCTCCTTTAAAATGGTATACCACTGTTTAAATTTGCATTTCATTGATTACAAGTGAGGTTCACACTTTTTTCATACCTTATTAGCATTTGCATTTCTTTCTTACACTTCATACTTAACTAAGTATCTGTTTGAAATGACCTAGTGTTTGGCAGCCTTCACTTCTCCCCTATCTACAGCTAAACTCTAGGGAGTGAGGTTTTTTGGAGAGGGTGTCTAATAAATGCTCAGAGGTGTAGACATAGGTGAGGGTGGATGTTTGTGAGATAGCTGTGCCAACAGAATATCTGCACACCTCCTCAATTGCCTTGTAAGGAATCCTGTGTCTGCTGTAAACTACACGGCACAGCTGAACACAGGCAAATAACCCTCAAGAAGTAGTGTTGC